CAGGGAGGGCAGGGCCGAGTTCTGCGGAACCCGGCTCGGGTGGTTGGCTCGGAGTGTGGGGAGCCTCGCATGGCTGCCTGGACCAGGTCGTGGGATCCAGCGCAGTTCGTGATCTGTGTGCTAACTATGTCGGGCCCGGGTGCTAAGCATTGTGCACGGATTATCTTCCTTTAAGTCTAACCAGAGGGTGACGTTCTGGTGACCACTTTAGAGAAGCAAATGGAGGCGCAGGATCTTGTGCACGGACACACGTTAGGAATCGGCAGAGCCGGGACTAAAACCCTGGCAGTGTAGCCCCGGAGCCCCACACCTACAAGTGAAGAACGGCTGCATCATATGATCGAGCTCCTGCTGAGAGCAGGCGTTTTTTGCAGTCTCATGTGGTGGGATCCGATTAGTTCTGAGAATTTATGTGTGGGGAAGTTAGCTTCGACATCTTTGAGTAGCCCAAAACGTGTGAGTAAGCCCTAAGCAGTGTTTCAGGATTGGATGTTTCAAGAAATCGTTCATCCGAAAAGTGACCAGGTTGCTTGAATGAACGTATGTCGATTCCCTTGGAAAATATTCATTCTCCTGAGATTTTTACACCTCTAAACACTCTCTCAATTCTGCACAGTGCACAAGAACATTGTTTAGGTTTAGCAAAACTGAAGAAATGTGCTGGTTATTTTTCTGTCTCAAAGTAGGGCTTTGAAAACACTGGAAACGGCTTTCTGTATTCATTTCTAACGTGATTTAAAACTGCTTAAAAGCAAAATTCAAGTACCTCATGTACTTCAGAATTAAGGCCTAGTTAACCTTTGACTTTATGGAGCAAAAGATGGCTTATGACCACATTTTCAATTGAGCAGGTGTCTTAGTTTTCCTAGTGACGTGAATTAAAAGGGATTTGCTTCAAAATAATGGGGGGTATTCCACCCCAGTATGAAAATAAGGAAGTTCAAGTGCTAAAGCTGATTTATGCATACAGGGAATTCATTGTATTCTTTTAATTTTTATGTATGTACTTGATGTTTTCCATAATAAAAAGGTTTTTTTGTTTGTTTTTAAAGAATAATTTATTTATTATTATTTTTCAATTTTGACAGAGACACAGCGTGGGCAAGCAACCCACTGGGTCCAGGACTTGAACCACAGTCGGCCATGTGGGAGTCCAGCACCATGTCACCTGCCAGCCCCATAAAAATAATTTTTTTAATCTATAGATTAAAAATTGGATTCTTACTGCTAAGTATGCAATTAACTTTCTCTAAAGTTTAGGGTCTTTTTGCCTGAGTTTTTATTAGCTAATTCTTTTTTGTAATTGAGGTGTTTATTTCGGTTATAAAACTACACATATACCTGAGTAACGTTTATTATTATTTAAATTTTTTTAGTTCCAAATTTGCAAAGTTGATATGTAACGTGATTTGAAAGAGATTTCACCATTTTCTTCATCTTCAGTTTTCTTTTGCTTAAATGCTGGAGGGTATGTGCGCTAGAGAGCAGAAGAGGAGAAAGCACCCCCCCCAGTGGGATGCGATCATGCCTCAATCCCTTCTTCATTTCTCCATTCAGTTGGGATTGGGGGCATGCATGCACACGCGCCTGGCATGTTTTACAAGCCACCAGGAATGGTATTCAAACCACTATGAGTTAGGTGGGATCAGCCCTCTTAAACCAGTAAGCTGTAGAGCTGTCCCTCCTATTTTGTTTTTAATAAACTCTATGTATTTATTAAAGGTTTTCCATGTAACTAAAAAACTTAATATACTTAGAAGTTTATGAGCATTTGTTGCTCATAGGGAGGAACTTTCCCAAATCTCTAAGGCTAAGCTTTCATTCATGACTTGTCATTAAAAGAGTTTTACTCAAGTGGCTTAAGTTCAAGATCATGGGAGCGAGGTTATTTGAGCAGTAGAGATAGGTGGGAATCGGGGCCTCAGGTGTCTGGGTTGCTTTTGTAAATGGGGTATTAAAACTGATTCCACTAAGAGCTTCTGAGTAACCAATCAATTCACTTCCTTGCTGCTGTTTGACATTCTCACAGTGACCATCTTTCCACCGTAGAAAAGGACACAAATGGAGAAGTTCTGTGGGTGTGGTGTTATCCTTCCACGACAGCTGCATTAAGGAATCTGCTGCTAAGAAAATGCTGCCTTACAGATGAAAACAAACTTCTCCATCCCTTTGTCTTTGGTCAGTACAGAAGAACATGGTTTTATATCACAACAGTTGAAGTTCCAGATTCTTCAGTTTTGAAAAAGGTATGACTGCATTAAAGTAAAAAATAAATAATAATTAATGATGTCAGGTGATTCAAATAACTTAATTCTAGACCATTCATACTACATTTTTGAAAATATTATTGTTTTCATTTTGGGAATGTCATTTTTCACATTTTACTCATTCATTCTATAAATATTTTTGGTGTTTATTATATCACAGCTCCTGTGATTTATATATTAGTGTGTATTAGAGCAATCCATTGTCTTTTCTTTTTTCTTTTATTCAGGTTATATTTGATGGAATAAGCATATAAAAATAGTTTCAAGGCATGACTGATTAAAAATGCAAAGAAATATTTTTCCACAATTAAAAATTATTCCTGGCTCCAGCAGATGGTGTAGTGGTTAAGGGCGCTGGACTCCCACATGGCAGACCATGGTTCGAGTCCTGGACCTGGTGGCTTGCTTTCTCATTTTCCCTCTCTCTCTCGCTCACTTTGGTCAAATTAAAACAAATAAAGTTAAATAAAATAATTAAAAAAAAACTATTCTAAAGGATATAATTATCCTTGGCATAGTTAAACATTTTTTTCATTTGCTTGTAGATGGTAAGGCTATAGTAAGAATTTAGAAACAATAATTAAGAGAACTCATATATTAGGTAGGCTTTTTTTTTTTGTATATTGTTTGATATTAACTGTGTCAACGTGACATGTGGGAAACCAGTACCTGGTTGTAGACTTTCTAATCCCCAGTCACTGACAGGGTTTTTCAAAGAAAGGAATAGTAGAAGGAAGTACCTGAACCTTTGCATGTACCCGGTTGGGGACTTCTTTTCCCTTTCTAGGGCTAATTTTATTTTTTAAATGATTTATTTAATTTTATTTATTCATTCATTATTTTAATTTGACCAGAGACAGACACAGAGAGGAAGAGAGGAAAAGTGAGAAACCGAGCCACCAGGTCTAAGACTGGAACCGTGGTCGGCCATGTGGGAGTGTTGAGTGCCTTAATCACCATGCCACCTGCTGGGCCCCAAGGCTAATTTTGTAGCCAATAATGAACTGTACAAATCATGATGGAAATACCAGTTTAAACTTAAGGAATGATGTCTAGAAACACAAGAAGCAACAATTTAGAAATTGTTATAGGTTTAAGTTGAAACAGAGGTTCATAATGAGGAATGTAAATTTGCGAGAAGATAGGTTTCAGTGTGTTACAAAATCTTTGCTTTATGTTCTGTAAGTTCTTGCCGAAAAGTCTTGATTTACCTTGAGTGGATTCATCTCATGTTTTGCATCACAGACTTTCAAGTTACAGCAGCATCACTGTCACATCTGTTGATTTCCAGATTTGAAAGATGGCAAGATTTAGAGATGGTTCTTATACCTCCAGATATGACTTATTAGGTCATGACATGTTTTCTATGTAAAAATGCATCATGACTTTCCCAACAACCCAATATTATGAATATATTTCTTCAGTGCTTTGCTTATTATAAAGTTCTACATTTGTTTCATTAATGGAAAAATTAAGTATAAGACTATGAGAAATTTGTATTTATAATAATAAAGGCATATATATAACAGTGCCTTTATATCACCCCACAGAGTGTTAATTATTTCAGGAACTATATGATTGTCACTGAGATGTGTTTTGGTGATTTTTATCCTTCTGTGATCTCATTAATGAAAAACAGTTACTAAATTGATAGGTCTGATTTAGCAATCCTAGCTAGTTCTGCTTTGATGAGATTAGGGGACATTAAAAAGAAACACGTTTTTGAGACCGGCAAATGGTGTAGTAGTTATGTCACTGGACTCCCACATAGTTGACCATGGTTTGAGTCCGGGACCTGTTGGCTTAAAACTCACACCAGGTGTGGGTGGGCCCAAAATCCTGAGAGGAGAATGGAGGAGAATGGATTGCAGTGTGGCCATCCCCCATTGGGGGGTGATTTTTCGCTTTCTGTCTCTCTCTGTCTTTCCAGCTTTCCAGTGAGCGCACAAACACAATAGCAAAAATCTCTCTTAAAAAAAAAAAAAAAGGTAAAAGACAAAGAAACTCACATTTTTTTTTTTGGGGGGAGAGATTTTCACTGTAGGGCGCGTGCACTCGCCAGACAGACAGAGAGAGACATAGAGACAGAAAGCGAGAAATCACCCCCCAGGGGGGATGGTCACGCCGCAATCCCTTCTCCTCCATTCTCCTCTCGGGATCTTGGGCACGCACGCACACGCGCCCAGCGTGAGTTTTAAGCCACCGGGTCCGGGACGTGAACCGCGGTCGACTACATGGGAGTCCAGCGACATAGCCATTACGCTAACTACTGGTTCCCAGAAACTCACATTTTTTACATTTGAGTAAAATATCTTTGTGTTTTTATAAAAACTTCCTAAAAGCATTGTGTTCTTATGTAAGAAATTAAATATATGTGTATATATGAGATACATACATGTACACACACGTACATGTACATACTTATAAAAGTGTAAAGAAGCAAGTGAGGACATTTTTACGTTGTGGTCTTTTCCATTTAACACTGGTATATCTAGTAAAAGAGGTTTGTTAGAATATAATAATAAAAATGAATTCTATGAAAGTGCCTTTAAAAAGTGTACTTTTTGTTTCTTTTGGACAGGTGACTCATTTTTCTATTGTTCTGACCGCCAAAGATTTTAACCCAGAGAAATATGCTGCCTTCACTAGGATATTGTGTAGGTCTGTATGAAAACGGTATTAAATACTAATATATAAAAATGGACATCTTACTCATTAGTTCCATAGCTGATTTCTTCACTGAGAAAGCAAATTTCAGCCCTTTTATCTCCCCAACTTAATTGTTAGTGGCCCTTCAGAGACTATTCTGTAAAGAGAGACATTCTCGTCTGCTTTGTTGATATTGCTCCTTTTATTAGGGAAAATGCTCTGGGGAAGGAGAAAGTTGCCAAGGCCAGAATTCAGACTACAATCAGCCGTATGGGATCCAGCTCTCTACGTACAGTGCTTAACTACTGTGCTGTGGGGCAGCTCAGGAAAGTATTTCTTAGCTGAATGCACTAGAAAATTCTGAAGAATTGGTTCATGATGATTCACATAAAGTCCTTTAGTTTCATCTCAGCTGTTGAAAAAGTTATCTAAAATATACCAGTCTAATTTCCTATTGTTAGGGACATGGACTTCTTTTTTTAAAGAATTATTTTATTTATCATTATTATTATTTTTCTTTAATTTGCTGTAAAGCACTCACCAGAGAGACAGAGTGAGAGTGAAAGGGAAAGTAAGCCAGCAAGTTACCAGGTCAGAACTCAACTGCAGTTACCTATGTGGGAGTTCAGCGCCCTAACCACATCACCTGTTGGCCCCAACGGCCCCAACATTGATTTTTTTTTTTTAAGGATTAAAAATTTTTGGAAGGAGGGACAAGCAGTTAGCATAATGGCTATGTCGCTGGACTCCCATGTAGTCAACCGTGGTTTGAGTCCCGGACCCGGTGGCTTAAACTCATGCCGGGCACGTGTGCGTGTGTGCCCAAGATCCTGAGAGGAGAATGGAGGAGAAGGGATTATGGCATGGCCATCCCCCCTGGGGGGTGATTTATCGCTTTCTGTCTCTCTGTCTCTGTCTGTCTGTCTGGTGAGCGCATGCGCCCTATAGCAAAAACCTCTCCAAAAAAAGAAAAAAAAAATTTAAAAAAAATTTATTTTTTGGAGGGGGACCAGTGGTTGGCATAATGGCTATGTCACTGGACCTCCATGTAGTCAACTACTGTTCGAGTCCTGGACCTGGTAGCTTAAACTCATGCCAGGCACGTGTGTGTGCCTGCCCAAGATCCCAAGAGGAGAATGGAGGAGAAGGGATTGCAGCATGGCCATCCCCCCTGGGGGGTGATTTCTTGCTTTCTGTCTCTTTGTCCCTGTCTCTCTGGTGAGCCCATGCACCCTATAGCAAAAACCTCTCAAAAAAAAAAAAATTGCAAGATCTTAGTTGTTTGGCCTTGATCCCCCATCCCTCTCACTCTCTCTTTTTTTTAATGCTAGGTATATATGTGTATGTGCATGTGCAAAAGAGAGCGAGGGAGAGAGAGAATCCACCAATTAGCATAGGCATGCTATAGTCTTTTTTCCCACAGTTCCCTATTCCATCAGGATCCTGGACATGTTTACATGGCTGGCATGTTTTTCAAGTTAATGGGGTATGGACTCAAACCCTAGTCTGCTACGTGGGATCTGGCTTCCTTCACACTTGCGTAACTACTACGCTATGGGGCCAGTCGCCTGTTTGTTTGTATGCTTTTTTTACTATTGCTGTTAAAAGTTAGAATTGTAGTTCTAGATGTTAATGCTTTACATTCAGCTCTTCCAAGAAGGTTTTCTGGAGGAGATGAAGAGAACTGTTTTTGTTTTTCTCCAAATAAACCTGATAAATGCTTGCCCTTTTATAATTTTTATGCATGCATGCATGCATGCATGCACATGCCAAAAATTAAAGCAACCAAAAAAACCGTAATGTAAGGATATCTCAGGACCAGCAGTTGGTGTAATGGCTATGTCGCTAGATTCCCATGTAGTCGACCATGGTTTGAGTCCCAGACCAGGGGGCTTAAACTCATGCTGGGCACGTGTGTGTGCATGCCCAAGATCTTGAGAGGAGGATGGAGGAGAAGGGATTGCGGCATGGCTATCCCCCCTGGAGGGTGATTTCTCACTTTCTGTCTCTCTGTCTTTCTGGTGAGCACATGTGCCCTATAGCAAAAACCTCTCAAAAAAAAAAAAGAAAAAAGTCCATCTCTTTATTACCTAAGGGTTTTATTTAGATTAGCTAAGTGATTTTACTATTTTGCGGCCAGCTCCCCTAAAAAAGCCTTTTTGCATCATCTGATAAATTCCTACTTCATGACTCACTGTGGAATATAAACAGTTGTTTGCTAATGTGGCACTGACACAAAGGGGGATTATTATTGCTAGAAGAGACGCTATCCAGGAGCCATAAACTAATAGCACTTACAGAGGTGTTTTTGAACAAACACTGAACTCCCACTTTATTTGAGTCAGGTTAGGTTAATAACTGAATTCTCTGAGAAATATTCAGGGATCCAGAAAGCAAGGTTGCTTCAGACTCTACTTCCTGCTCAGAGGACTTCTCAGCTTTTGCCGTACTGTGGCATCGTGACCCTCTAGATTTTCCTCTCCTGTCACAGTATGAGAGAAGTGAGGACCCAGAGCTGCTGCCAGCTCCCCTGCTCTTACCCCTTATTGCACTTACATGCTCACCTTACGCGTACATGCATATGCTTACGCACACACCCGTGCGGATGGCGAGGTTGGTGTGGAGTTGCTCCCTTCCATTTCTGGTGAGAGAAGCAGGCAGATGTGCTTTTTTTAGCAGGCTGCTACAGGGGCAGTGGGAGCCTAGTGGGAAGGCTTTCTTCCCTGTGTGGCATGCGGGTTAACTTCCAGAACCCCCTTCGTTTTCTAGTCCCTGTAGCTAGTGGCCCTGGTAGAGAACTAAGTTTTCATGCACACTTGGAATCCATTGTCCAGGCCAGATGTGACAGCCTTTGAGTGTCTATCTGAACAAGGTCCTCTGGAAAAACCACTGTGTGGTTTTCCTGTAGAGTGGCATTCCTATGGAATTCCTTCCTCTGTCCCGTCTCTTGCAGCCCAGGGTTTTATCTGGGAAGTTATCTTCCACTGATCCTCTGTTTCTCTTCTCCATTACTGTCTGTTGTTTCTTTATAATATTTATGGTGCTTTATATTTTTTGGTGGTAGTGGTAGTAATGTACCTAATTAAAAAAAAATAAAGAGGATCAGCTGGTGGTGTGATGGTTATGGCAACTGATCCCACATGGCTGACTGCACGGTTCAAGTCCTGGACCTGCAGCACAACGGGCACGTGTGTGCATGCGTGCCCAAAATCTAAAATAAAGAATGGAGGAGGAGGGAACCAACAGTTAGCATAATGGCTATGTCGCTGGACTCCCACGTAGTCGACCGTGGTTCGTGTCCCGGACCCGGTGGCTTAAAACTCACGCTGGGCGCGTGTGTGTGCATGCCCAAGATCCCGAGAGGAGAATGGAGGAGAAGGGATTGCAGTGTGACCATCCCCCCTGGGGAGTGATTTCTCACTTTCTGTCTCTGTCTCTCTCTATCTGGCGAGCGCACACGCCCTATAGTGAAAAATCTCTCCCCCCCCCAAAAAAAAAGAATGGAGGAGGAGAGATTGCAATGCGGCTCTCCCTTCTGTGGGGGCAATTCATCATTTCCTTCTCTCTTCTCTCTCTGGTGAGCACATGTGCCCTAAAACAAACAATACAAAACAAAACAAAAGAGTGAAAAAAGAACAGTGGAACAGAGTGTACAGTAAAAACTCTGTCCCTTGTTCCCCAGGCTCCAGTTCTACTTCCTGACCCCCACGCCACACACTTCTATGATCTCTCTCTTTTTTTTTTAATGATTATTTTATTTAACTTTACTTATTTTTGGTTAATTTGACCAGAGAGGGACAAAGCAAGAGAGAGGACAAGTGAGAAAGCAAGCTGCCAGGTCTGGGACTCAAACCATGGTTGGCCATGTGGGTGTCCAGTGCCCTTAACCACCATGCCACCTACCAGCTCCTGTAATCTCTTTCTTTACATTGTACCAGATATGTTTTCTCTCTGTTTGAGCAGGCCTGTGAGTTCACGGGTTTGAATACATTATACATCTATAAGAGCTTACCATATTCATTTTTCTTTACCTTTTTTGCTCAATTTGTAGATTAAAATAATAAGCAGTGATAGTTGACACAATTTGGTAAGCAGTGACACACTTGCTTTTTTCACTTAATTTATAGTAAATGACATTTTCAAGTAATCTGAAACATCAGGGTTTTTTGTTTTGTTTATTTTTTTTGTTTTTGGAGAGGTTTTTTTTTTTTTTAAAGGTTTTTGTGTGCGCTTGCCAGACAGAGAGACAGAGAGACAAAGCGAGAAATCACCTCCCGAGGCGATGGCCACGCTGCAATCCCTTCTCCTCCATTCTCCTCTCGGGATCGTGGGCACGCAAAATTATTTAACTTAATTAATTTATTTATTTATTTATTTATTTATTTATTTATTTATTTTTATTTGCTCAGAGAGGGACAAAACAAGAGAGAGAGAGTGGGAAAGCGAGAAAGCAAGCCGCCAAGTCCAGGACTTGAACTATGGTCGGCCATGTGAGCCGCCAGTGCTCTTAACCACCACATCACCTGCTGGCCCCTAAAACTTCATTTTTACTGTTGACTTTCTATCCCATTGGCTTCTGAAAGTCCCAAAGAGATCTAGTTATGTTTCTCAAGCAAAATTTAGTTCTCCTTGCTCACAGGAAGAGATTTCAAGGGGAAGAGACTAACTCCACATGTGAGCTATAAATGCAGCCAGTTTCCTGTCAGCATTTTCTGGAAGTTTTAATTTGATGATGAATGTCTCTAGTACACATTCATCTCTAAAAACCTAAGAGTTTTTATTTCTTAATTATCTAAATATAGCTGCCTTTGGGAACTCTGATAATAAGTATGGGTTCTACAGCTAATTACTGCTTGCTCTGTGAACAATGCATCAAACTCCTTTCTTGTCAAAGGCAATCCTAGCAATAAAACAAAGTTGTCTGACTAAGAACGCCAGTCGTGAATGTAAGACATAAAAAGAGATAAGTATATGATAGTCTTGAGAGTAATTGGTACTCTGAAAGTCCACAGTTTCTTTTCTTGCCTTAGTGACTAAAGCAAAGCAGGCTTCCCCAGATGTAAGGAGAGAGCTGACATCAAAGAATTGTTGAAGGTCTTTCAGAGCTTTTTTTTTTTTTTTTTTTTTGCCATAGGGCACATGTGCTCGCTAGAAAGACAGAGAGAGAGAGAGAGAGAGGGAAAGAAAAATCCCCCCACCCCTAACCCCGGGAGGATGATCACACCACAATCCCTTCTCCTTAATTCTTCTCTCAGCATTTTGGGCATGCACGCATATGCAGCTGGTGTGATTTTTCAAGCTGCCAGGTCCAGGACTTGAACTGTGATTGGCCATATGGGCGTCTAGTGCCTTAACCAATATGCCACCTGCTGGCTCCATTTTTCTTTTTAATATAGGTTTTTTGTTTTGTTTTGTTTTTGTTTTTTTGTTTGATTTGTTTTTAGGAGAGGTTTTTGCTATAGTGTGCATGTGCTCATCAGAAAGACAGAGACAGAGAGACAGAAAACGAGAGATCACACCCCCCAGGAGGAATGGCCACACCACAATCTCTTCTCCTCCATTCTCCTCTCAGGATCTTGGACACGCACACACACGCGCCCAGCGTGAGTTTAAGCCACCGGGTTCAAGGCTAGAACCACGGTTGACTACATGGGAGTCCAGAGACATGGCCATTACCCGAACCGCTGGTCCCATTTTAATATAGTTTTTAATTAAAGTAAAGGGTTACATGTTCTGAAGAGATTCAGGCATTCAGAAATGTTATTAGGACTTAGCTTTAGATTGTTTAGAAAGTATTCGTGCCTAGCTTTGGAGCATTTTCTCATGTAATTCGTGCCAAATAAAATGATTGCCTTTTGTCCTTTCTTTATAGAATATACCTGAAACATGGAAGTCCAGTGAAAATGATGGAGAGTTATATTGCAGTTCTCACAAAGGGGATATGCCAGAGTGAAGAAAATGGCTCTTTCCTTAGCAAGGACTTTGATGCCCGAAAGGCATACCTTGCAGGCTCCATCAAAGGTAAAAAAAAAAAAAAAAAAAGAAAGAAAGAAAGGAAACAAGAGACAGGCCCAGCCTGGTGGCCCTGTCAGTAAAGCCACATGACTGATGGTTGAGGGCTGATAGCAAATTTAGATCCCTGGGTCAGCCTGAAATTATGCTGGGCACATGCCTGAAATACTAACAAGACTATGTTGAGGGTGCTTCTCTCATGTACTTTCTATTATAAATTTATTTTTTAATCTTCTTTTTTTTTAAAGAATTTTTTAACTTGATTTTATTTTACTTATTTATTTTAATTTCACTAGAGACGGACAGAGTGAGAGAGAGAGAGAGGGAAAGCGAGAAAGCAAGCCGCCAGGTCTGAGACTTGAACCATGGTCAGCCATGTGGGAGTCCAGCACCCTTAACCACCATGCCTCCTGCCAGCCCCAATCTTTTTTTTTAATTGCTAGAAAGTACCTGTACTTACCAGAGACAGAGAGCAGGTGGAGAGAGAGAAAGCATCACAATAGGGTGTGGTCACAATTCAGGCTCTTCTCCATTTCTTCATTGTTGGGATTTAGAACATGCACATACACGCACCCTGTGTGTTTTGCAAGCCACTAAGGCTGGGATTCAAACTGCTGTCCACCATGTGGAATTCCTAAGCTATGGGGCTGTCCAACAAAATAAATTTGAAAAGAAGAAATGAAAATCCATTCCAGGGCCTAGCAGATGGTGTAATGGTTACATTGCTGAGCTCCCACATAGTCGACCATGGTTTGAGTCCTGGACCCAGCGGCTTAAAACACACAAGGTGCATGTGCATGTGTGCTTAAAATCTCGAGAGGAGAATGGAGGAAAAGGGATTGTGGTGTGGTCATCCCCTCCAGGGGGGTGATTTCTTGCTTTTTGTCTCTGGCAAGCATACACCTCCTGTAGCAAAAATCTCTCTTAAAAAAAAAAATTCCAGTAACAAACTCCTTAAGACAGGATGTTTTTTCATTAGCCTCTCTCATACGTTATTTTCATCTATGTAATATTTGTTTCCTTACAAGAGGACACTTTAACTCCTTTATTTCCTATTGGGCTTGAATGCTCTTAAAGGAAAAAAAATTTTTTTGTTTTAATTTTTTTTTTTAATAAATTAATCTATTATTATAGAAATGTTGTTTTGGGACTGGCAGGGGGTTTGCTGGGTAGTGGTGCTAGACTCCCACATGGCCAGCCATGGTTTGAGTCCCAGACCTGGAGGCTTGCTTTCTTACTTTCTCTCTCTCTTACTCTATCTCACTCTATCCTTCTCTGGTCAAATTAAAATAAATAAGTAAATGGATAAATAAAGTTAAATAGAATAATTCTTTAAAAAAGAAAAAAAGAAATGTTCTTTTGTCAGTAAGCTGAATTTTACGCCACAAGGTCTCCACTGACTTCCATAGTTTTTCTTTCCTTGCATCATAACAGCTTCCTCTTCCATCTGGAGAACTCAAGCCCCTGATCCAGGGTTCCCACTCCCAGCTGGATAACTTAGAATGCTAGGGATAGCCACAGACTTCAGGGTACCAGAGAGGGTAGAGAGGGCATCTTGAAGGCAAAGCTGCCCTTGGCTGTGTCTTCCCACACCCCCTGCCTGGTTTTGCTTCTTGAAAATTATTATTCATGATAGCACATGTACATGTATGAGAGAGAGAAGAGTAAGAAAGAGAAAGAAAGCATCCTTGACAGGATCTCGTTTAACCACCCCCTCTCCACCAGTCCTCTAACTCCTCCTAGGCTCACATGCTTGGCCTCCGTGTGTTGTTCCTGGATGACTGGGCCCTGGATTCAAACTGGTTGGCCTGTGAGTGCCAGTACTCCAGTTCACTACACTACCAACCCCACCACCAGGTTGGGCCTCTGCTTTTCATCTTACTGTCCCGTGTAGTTTCTTTTTGTCAGAGGGTTTGTGCATTTGCTGGAAACAGAGAGAGAGAAGGAGAAAGTACCTCCCAATGCAGCATGGTCACACTGAAATTTCTTTCTCCTCCATTTCTTCATCCCATCAGTATTTTGGGCCTTGCATGTACAGGTGCGTGGCATGTATTTCAAGTTGCTGGGACCAGGATTCGAACCATTGGTTGGTCATGTGGGATCCAGCACCCTTGACCATTAGGCTACGGGGTCAGCCCTATCCTATGGTTTCTCAGCATCCCTGATAAGGTGTTAGATGTTCATCAAGCTAGCTGCAAAGGACTAAATAGTGATGGGGTGAGGGGCTTAACGGAAGTGGGGTTAGTAGAGACTTTTTTTAAAATAAGGAAGTTATTTTGTTTGGTTTTGCTATGGGTGCATGTGCTCACTAAAGAAAGAAAGAAAGAGAGAGAGAGAACTCACCCTCTAGAGCAGATGGCCACACCACAATCCATTTTCCATTCATCTTTCAGGATTTTAGACATGTACACACATGCGCCTGGTGTGTTCTTCAAATTACTGAGTCTGGAACTTGAACTGTGCATTTGGCCGTGTGGGATCTATCCACCTTAACTTCGACATCCGCTGGCCCCAATTCAGGAAGTTTTTTTGATGCAAAAGGATGCTGGTTCCTCTTTGCATCATTTATTTCACTTTCTTGAGAGTCTGGCTTCATCTCTATAACCAGCATAGAGTCTCTGGGCACCAGGAGGGGTGGGGAGTGGGGACTGGATGTAGCGATTAACAAATGCTGGTCAGCAGATGTATGGATCTGTATACCCACCCAGGGCCAGCAGGTGGCGTGGTGGCGAAAGGGGCTGGACTCCCACATGGCCAACCGTGGTTCAAGTCCTGGACCTGGTGGCTTCCTTTCTCACTTCCCTCTTCTCTGATCAAATTGGAAAATAATAATTAATAAAATTAAAATAATTTTTTTTCCTTTTTTTTGAGAGAGGTTTTCACTATAGGGTGTGTGCGCTCACCAGACAGACAGAGACATAGAGACAGAAAGCGAGAAATCACCCCCCAGGGGGGATGGTCACGCCACAATCCCTTCTCCTCCATTCTCCTCTCGGTACCTTGGGCACGCACGCACATGTGCCCGGCATGAGTTTTAAGCCACCTGGTCGGGGACGTGAACCGCGGCCGACTACGTGGGAGTCCAGCAACATAGCCATTACACTAACTGCTGGTCCCAAGTTAAAATAATTCTTTAAAAAAATATCCATCCACCACATGAGGTGTTTCTGTGCTTACATTTGCCTAAATTTATTCTCTGTATTGAAACTAATTTTGCATTCATATGACAAAAATTCTTTCTGAGAGAAACTTTAAATCTTTACATAATATTTAATATAATGATATTATAATTTTTTTTTTTTAGACATTGTATCTCAATTTGGAATGGAAACTGTTATCTTACACACAGCACTGATGCTAAAGAAGAGAATTGTTGTCTATCACCCCAAAATAGAAGCTGTCCAGGAGTTTACCAGGTATCATCTCAAATTATTAAAAAGTGTAAACTTTGTTGGCTGACAGTTTGGGACATTAGATATTACCATGTGGTCTATTCTGTTACACATTTGGTATAAATAGAATATGTTAGGCTGAGTGTGAAATGTCATTTTGGTCTAATATTTCAATCCAGATCTAGTAGTTCAAGGTCACTGAGCTTGGATAGATTATTTTTTAACTTTAGAATTACAAAAATTTTAGAGCAGAGAGTTAGTGAACTTTTCCTTGCCAGAGTAAATATTTTAGGTTTGTGCACCACGTGGTGCCTTGTCCAAACTACTCAATTGCTTGGTAGCACAGAAGCAGTCCTAGACAACATGTATGTAAATGAATGAGTGTGGTTATGTTCAATAAAACTTTATTTGCAAAGATGGAGTTGGCCCATGGGCCTCAGTTTGCTGGCTCCTGTTTTAGGGAAGTTGTTTCCTCTGTTCATTTTTACCCAAGACTCTATTTTTGTACATACAGAATTTTTAGGGGTCGGGAATTGGTTACTAAAACTAACTCATTCTTAGATCCTTCTTTATTTTAAAAAAAGAATTATTTATTTTAGGACCAACAGGTGGTGTCATGGTTATGTCACTGAACTCCCATGTAGTTGACAGCTGTTTGAGTCCTAGACCCGGCAGCTTAAAACTCACACCAGGCACTTTGCATGCATGCCCCAAATCCCGAGAAGATACTGGAGAAGAAGGGATAAAAGCAAGGCCATTCCTCCTGGAGGGTGACTTCTCACTTGCTGTCTTTCTGTCTCTCTCTCTGTCTCTGCAGTGAGTGTATACACCCTATGGCAAAAATCTCTCTTAAAAATGACTTAATTCCACTTATTATTATTATTATTTTAAAAATTGACCAGAGAAAGACAGGGAGAGAGAGAGAAAGTGGGAATGTAAGCCACCAGGTCGAGGACTTGAACCACATATGTGGGAATCCAGCCCCTTAACCACCATACCAGCTACTTGACCCCTTAGAACCTTTTGTTCTAAATGTAAAAAAAAAAAAAAAAATTTAAATTACTTTATTTAACTTTATTTATGTATTTATTTATTTTAATTTGACCAGAGAGAGAGAGTGAGAGCGAGAAAGGGTGGGGAAGTGAGAAAGCAAGCTGCCAGGTTCGGGGCTTGAACTGCAGTCGGCCATGTGGGAGTTAGGGCCATGTGCCTCTAACCACCATGCCATCTACTGGCCCCAGACCCTTAGATCCTTTTACTAGAAGTAAGGAGAATTACCATTGTGCCAGTTTATTGTATGCCAGGCATTATGTGAGACACCTCACATTTAATGCACTCATGATAAGAACCCTGCAAGGAAATAGTATCATCCTATTTAATGAATGAGAAAATTGAAGCTGGCAGAGGCTACGTGATAATATAAAGAAGAAAGGTTTTGTAGTCAGAAAGTCCTAGGTTAAGATCCTAGGAGGTGGGACCAGCAGTAAGCGTAATGGCTATGTCGCTGGACTCCCATGTAGTCAACTGTGGTTCGAGTCCTGGACCCGGTGGCTTAAATTCACACTGGGCACGTGTGCGTGCATGCTCAAGATCCCGAGAGGAGAATGGAGGAGAAGGGGTTGTGGCATGGCCATCTCCCCGGGGCGGGGGAGGGGGATGATTTCTCGCTTCCTATCTCTCTGTCTCTCTCTGTCTTTCTGGCGAACGCACATGCCCTATAGAAAATACCTCTCCAGAAAAAAAAAAGATTCTGGGAGGGAAGTTTATAGGCTCTGTGACCAACTAACAGATAACCTTGATTTCTTTCTCTTTCAAAAGAGAGTTATAATATATAATAATATACATATTATTACCATTTTTAAAATTAATTTTATTTATTTATTTTATTTATTTTGAATTTTCCAGAGAGAGGGGAAAAGTAAGAAAATAAGCCACTAGGTCTGGGACTTAAATTGTGGTCCACTCATATGGGAATCCAGTGCCTTAACCACCATACCAGCCTCAATATATGTATTATTAGCAATGTGCTTAGCATGCGCTTTGCTCACACTTTCTAAATGATGATTATTATGGTCATGCTTATCTCAGATTTAAAAAAAAATTATTTTATTTAATTTTATTTACTATTTTTGATTTGCTATGGAGCATGTGCTTTCACCAGAGAGAGAGAGAGAGAGACAGAGAAAGTAAGGAAACAAGCTGCCAGGTCCAGGACTTGAACCACAGTCGGCCCTGTGGGAGTCTAGCACCTTAACCACATGCCAACTGTTGGTCCAGTTGCCTCAGATCTTAAGCGAGAAGACCAGAATTTTTGCCCTATTCTTTCTAGGTCTAAAACTTTGTATTTTTCTTTTTTTTTTTTTTTTTTTTTTAAGATTTTTGCCATAGGGCATGTATACTCGCCATAGAGAGACAGAGACAATGAGAAGGTAAGTGAGAAACCACCCCCCTGAGGGAATGGCCATGGCAGGGATTTGGGACACACATGCACATGCACCTGGTGTGATTTTCAAGTTGCCAGGTCTAGGACTTGGACCATGGATAGCCATGTGGGAGTCCAGCATCATTTTTCTTTTTAAAGAATTATTTTATTTAACTTTATTTATTTATTTAAATGTGACAAGAGAGGGACAGAGGGAGTAAGCAAGAGAGAGAGAGAGAGAGGGAGAAAGTGAGAAAGCAAGCCACCAGGTCTGAGTCTAGAACCATGATCATCCCTGTGGGTGTCCAGCACCCTTAGCCACCAGGCCACCTGCTGGCCCCTAAAGTCTTTTATTTTTCTACCTCTTCACCTTTTCCTTCCACATTTGTGCTTAAACTGAGCATCCACAGCTTCTGAGATATTTAGCAGGGCACCAGGAGGTTCACAAAGCCTCAGATAAGTTCAGTGCATCTTCCTGCAATAGTTGTTTTACTGCAAATTTTTTTCTTTTTTTTGGGTAGAGATTTTTACCTTAGGGCATGTGTGCTGTGTGGGGAGAGGGAGACAGAGACGGTGACACGGAAAGTGAGAAATCACCCCAAGGGGAGATGGCCACACCACAATCCCTTCTCCTTTATTTTCCTTAAGCCATTAGGTCTGGGACTTTAACCACAGTTGGCCATGTGGGAGTCCAGTGACATAACCACTATGCCATCTGCTGGCCCCACTGGCCAAAATTTTTTGGGCCAAATCCCCATTTTTTTTTTTTTTTTTTGAGAGGTTTATGCTATAGGGGGCATGCACTTGCCAGAAAGACAGAAAGAGACAGAGGGATAGAAAGCGAGAAATAAGCCTCCAGGGGGGATGGCCACACCCGCATCCCTTATCACCCAGGATCTTGGGCAGGCATGCACACACACCTGGCGTGAGTTTAAGCCACCGGGTCCGGGACTCAAACCGCGGTCAACTACATGGGAGTCCAGCAACATAGCTATTACACTAACTGCTGGTCCCCCCAAAAAATTTTTAGAGGGAAAATCTGTTATATGAAAACAAACACAATGTGGTTTACACATTTGACTGAAATTTTAAATGTAAATGGGTGACTTCCAGAAAATTTCTTACTTGCAGGGGCCATTTGGGGTTTTAGGCCCAGAGTCACTTTCCATGGCAGTCTGCAGAGTGGGATGTTTGGAAGGAAACTGTAGAAGCATCACTAGGTGCCACCATGGAGAGCTTTGAAAATTCACCTTGAGGGGCTGGCAGGTGTATTGTGGTTAAAGTCGCTGGACTCCCATATGACTGACTGCGGTTTGATTCTCAGACCTGCCAGCTTGCTTGCTGACTCTCTCTTTCTCCGTCTTTCTCTGGTCAAATTAAAAAAAAAAAAAAGGTAATAAATAAAGTTAAATAAAATAATTATTTTTAAAAAAGAAAATTCACTTTAAGCTTTTTGAGCTGATAAGACCCTAAAACTGAAGTTTAATAAAACATTACATTGTTTTAATTTGAAGCCTGGAAGTGTTTGTCAGCATGTCTGGGGCCTGGTCTCACTTCTGCCCCGATTCTCTGATTTGCTCCTCAGGAAGGGGAGGAGAGACAGGTTGAGTCTTTAAGGTGTAGGCCAGCAATCATTTGAGTGCTTTCTTGTCTCATTTCCTCAGGACTCTGCCTGCCCTGGTATGGCATCGACAGGATTGGACCATCCTTCACTCTTATGTGCACCTCAACACTGATGAACTAGAAGCCTTGCAGCTGTGTACAGGTAGGCAAGAGGATCCCAGGAAGAAAATATTCTGCTTTAAGTAGGGTCTTTTTTTTTTTTTAAGAGTTTTTTTTTTTTTTTCCTATAGGGCGCATGCACTTGCCAGAAAGACAGACAGAGACAGAAGCAAGAAATCACTCCCCAGGCGGGATGGCCACTCTGCAATCCCTTCTCCTCCATTCTCTTCTTGGGATCTTGGGCATGCACACACACGCACCCGGCATGAGTTTAAGCCACCGGGTCCGGGACTTGAACAGCAGTTAACTACATGGGAGATCAGCGACAAAGCAATTGTGTGTGTCTCTCTGGTGAGCACATGCACCTCATAACAATTTTTTTTTAGAGAGAGATTTTTGCTATTGGGTACATGTGCTTCACCAGAAAGACAGAGAGAGACAGAGAGACAGAAAGTGAGAAATCACCCTCTGGGGGGATGGCCATACTGCAAGTAATCCCGTCTCCATTCTCCTCTCAGGATTTTGGACACACATGCACTTGTACCTAGCATGAGTTTAAGCTGCTGGGTCCAGGACGCAAACCACAATTGACTACGTGGGAGTCCAATGATGTAACCATTACACCATATGCTGGTCCCCACAACAATTTTTTAAAAGACGTATTTAATTTATTATCTTTTAATTTGTTATAGGGCACATGTTGTTCACTATAGAGAGAAAGAGAGAGAGAGAGAAAGTGAGAAAGCAAGCTGCCAGGTCCAGGACTTGAACTGAGGTTGGCCACGTGGGCGTCTAGTGCCTTAATCACCACACAACCTGCTGGCATCCCCACATACCAAATATTTTTTAAAGTTTGCTGAAGGGCACCTACATTTACAAGAAAGAGACAGAGAGAGGGAGAGATTCCCCCCAGTGGGGTGTGGTCATGCTGCAATCCCTTCTTCATTTTTTTTTTTTTTTGATATTTTTGCCATAGGGCGCATGCACTCACCAGACAGACAGAGAGAGACAGAGAAACAGAAAGTGAGAAATCACCCCCCAGGGGGATGGCCATGCCACAATCCCTTCTCCTCCATTCTCCTCTCAGGATCTTGAGTATGCACACACACGCGCCTGGTGTGAGTTTAAGCCACCGGGTCCCGCGATCAACTACATGGGAGTCCAGTGCCTTAACCGTTATGTAAGCAATTGGTGCTGCTGATATTAAATTTAAAAATGGTCTCAGCCTTTTGGTATAGTCAACAGCAAACTGAACTGCAGTGGTGAAAGCCATGTGGCCAACTGTGGGTTCCAATCCCCAGCTTGGCTTGAAAACATGCTGGAAATGTGCCCAAGATCCTGACAAACTTGGCCAACTTGACAAGGCCCTGCTGAGGGTGTTTTTCTCGCTCCCTCTCTTTCATGTGTACACACATATACTTTTTATTATGAATCAGATAAACTTTTAAAAAAATTATGTTCTTCATTTTTAAACATTTTCCCAGTGGGCACCTATGTTTACAAAGAGAAAGCCAGAAAACACCCTTGCATGGAAGATGGTCACACTGCAATCTCTTCTCCCTCATTTCTCCCTCCTTTGAGGATTTGGGCACACATGCTGACGAGCCCAGCATATTTTTCAGACAGCCATGTTCAGGACTCGAACTGTGCAGTAAGCCATGTAGGATCTAGCCACTTAACCATTGCACCACCAGCTGGCCCTCATGGTATCTTTTCAGTTTTTTATTTTAAATTTGCTGTAAGGATATATGTGCATGCCAGAGAGACAAAGAAAGGGAAAGTGAGAAATCACCCCCAGAGGGGATAACCACACCACAATCCCTTCTCCAGTCTCCTCTCAGGATCTTGGACACACACATACATACGCCTGCTATGTTTTTTAAGCTGCCAGGTCTGGGGCTTAAACCCTGCAGTTGTCCATACAGGGTCCAGTCACCTTAACCACCATACTACCTGGCTAGTCCCCTCATGGTATCTTTTTTTTTTTAAAAGAATTGTGCTGGGGCTGGCAGACGGCATGGTGGTTAAAGGCACTGGATTCCCACATGGCCGACCGCGGTTCAAGTCCCAGACCTGGCAACTTGCTTTCTCGCTTTCCCTTTTTCTCTCTCTGTCACTCTCTGGTCAAATTAAAAAATAGTAACTACAGAGGCTGACAGGTGGCATGGTGGTTGGGAGTGCTAGACTCCCACATGACCGACCGCAGTTCAAGTCTTGGACCTGACAGTTTGCTTTCTCACTTTCTCTCTCTCTCTCTCTCTCTGTATCTCTCTCTGGTCAAATTAAAATAATAATAATAAAATAAAGTTAAATAAAATAATTCTTTGATAATAATAACAAATGGAATTAAATAAATAATTCTTAAAAAGAAAAAAAGAATTGTGCTAAGTAAACTCACCGAGAGAGACAGAGGGGAAGTGAGAAATCACCCCTGGGGGGAGGGCTACAACACAGTCCGTTCTCTTCCATTCTCCTCTTGGGATTTTGGGTATTCACATGCATGCACATGGCATGATTTTCAAGCTGTCAGATCTGGAACTTGAACCACAGTCAGTCATATGGGAGTCCAGCACCTTCACCACCATGCCACCTGCTGGCCCTTCATGGTATCTTAATGAATAAAGTTCTTCATTTGAACATGTTAGAATTTATTAGACTTTAAGAAATGCATTTAGTTTTTTATATTTTGTTTAATAAAGCTTGCTTTATTTCAAATATAGAAAGATATTTGCCTATATCTATATTTTCTTTTTTCATGATTTAATTTTATTAAAAGAACTTTTTTGAATTGCTAGAGAGTACAGATACTTGTTAGAGAAAGAGAAAGAGAGAAAGCACACCCCAGTGAGGCACGGTCGTGCTGTAATCCTATTTCTCCATTTCTCCATCCTGTCAGGATTTGTGACATGTACACACACCCACCATGTGGTTCAAGCAGCCAGGGCTGGGAACTGGAGCCCACCACGTGGTTCAAGCAGCCAGGGCTGGGAACTGGAGCCATGGTTAGCCACGTGGAATCTGGCTTCCTGTACATAGCGCCTAACTACTGTACAATGGGGCCGGCCTGTGTTGCTGTTTTTAAATATCCTTACTTGGTAAAGTAAAACTTTAGCAATGGTAAATTAGTCCTCAAGATTTTTTATTTTTTATTTTTTTGTGATTTTATTGCTCTGTGAAATCAAAAGAGCTGGGGAACCGTTGCTTTACACAGCACCAGCCTTGGAGGTCTGTTCATTCTTGAGTTACCCTGATTGGTTTAGTGTTCATTGTATCATTCTGACCTGAGTGACAGATGATACCATCTCCACCGTATTTCCCATGAAACCCTGGCATTAGGCTATGATCTCTGGGAGACAAAGACCTAGAGGGGGAACAAACACTGGCTGAAAGAATCCTGGCTACCTTCTGCCTTATTCTTGACCAAATAACAACGACTGGAGAGTATGCTGTCCTTCAACCTGGTTCTTTGACCCCAAAGTCTAATTTTAGAACACGTAGAGTCTGTGAATTTCTTCAGGCAACTGATAATAATCTGGTGTCGATAGATTGCATAGCAGTTAGCTAATGTTCCCAAATAAATAGGGGAGTGAAGAAAAGGAATGCATTTTAGACTCAGTTTTATTTTGGTATGTTCACAGTGTTGCTTCCCACTCCAGTAATGTTGGTCATCTTTGTTATACAGGTTACATTGCTGGATTCGTAGACTTGGAGGTGAGCAATAGACCAGACCTCTATGATGTATTTGTGAATCTGGCAGATAGTGAGATTACTATTGCTCCGCTTGCAAAAGGTTAGTCCTCTGTTTTGTTCTGTTATTGATACAAGATATTAGCCAAGCAGTTATATTTTTTAAAATAATTTTTTAAACCTTTATTTATTTTAATTTGACCAGAGAGGGACAGAGAGAGAGAGGGAGGGAAAGCGAGAAGGCAAGCCGCCAGGTCCAAGGACTTGAACCACTGTTGCCCATGTGGGAGTCCACCACCTGCTGGCCCATGATGTTTTTTATAGCCATAGACATGTTAACAATACATCCTGGGTACTTAAGCTGCACAGTATATGATAACAAATTAGTCTATTTATTTCTCCACTTTTTCTGCAGTATCTTCCTGATAAGGAAGGATACTATATTTTTTCTGCAGTATTATCTATTACTGCATAAGAAATCACTTCAAAACTTGGTTGGGTTTTTGGGACCAGCAGTTAGCGTAATGGCTATGTCACTGGACTCCCACGTAGTCGACCCCGGTTCAAGTCCCGGACCCAGTGGCTTAAACTCACGCCAGGCGCGTGTACGTGCGTGCCCAAGATCCTGAGAGGAGAATGGAGGAGAAGAGATTGCAGTGTGACCATCCCCCCTGAGGGATGGCTTTCTGTCTCTCTCTGTCTGTCTGACGAGCGCACGCGCCCTATTGTGAAAGCCTCTCAAAAAAAACCCCAAAAAAACAAAAAAAACTTGGTTGGGTTTTTTGTCTTTTTTGTCTTTTTTTTTTTTTTTTAGAGATTTTTGCGCGTGCGCTCGCCAGACAGGCAGAGAGAGACATAGAGACAGAAAGCGAGAAATCACCCCCCAGCGGGGATGGTCACTCCGCAATCCCTTCTCCATTCCCCCTCTTGGGATCTTGGGCATGCACACACATGCACCAGGCATGTGTTTAAGCCACCAGGTCCAGGACTTGAACCGCAGTCGACTACATGGGAGTCTAGCAACATAGCCATTACCGGAACTACTAGTTTTTTTATTTTATAGAATTATTTATTTAATTTTATTTATTCATTCAATCATTTTCATTTGACCAGAGAGACAGATACACAGAGAGAAGGAGAGAGAAAGCAAACCACCAGGTCCAAGACTTGAACCAGGGTCGGCCATGTGGGAGTGTCCAGTGCCTTAACCACCACGCCACCTGCTTACCTGCTCTTAATTATTTTTTTATTGGAGAAGTTTTTGGTATAGGGCACATGCACTCACCAGAAAGAGAGACAAAAAGTGAGAAATCACCCCCCAGGGGGCATGGCCATGCTGCAATCTCCTCCATTCTCCTCTCGGGATCTTGGGCACACACGCATACGCGCCTGGCGTGAGTTTAAGCCACCGGGTCCAGGACTCGAACTGCGGTCGACTACATGGGAGTCTAGCAACATAGCCATTGCGCCATCTGCTGGTCCCACTCTTATCTTAAGTCATTTTAAAATCACAAACATAATACATGTTTGTGGTGAGGAAGTCAAATTGTGGAACCAAATATTTAGAAGATACTGTCTTTTGTAAAGCCAAAATAATAGAAAACTGACTGTGGCCAGGGCCACTTAAAGTGCTGAAGCATTGAGTCCTGAAAGGGTGTCCATCTTTCTGCTGCTCTGAGTCTATAACATAGCTCTTCCCAGTCAGCACCATTGGAGTCGGCTTTGCCAAACAGAACTCCCCGTTAATCTCCTCGCTGCAGACAGTAGCAGCGGATGCAATTAACATAACTCAGGTTGTTTCCTGCGGTCGTCTTTCGGGGCCTGAACACACTGACCAGCTGGCTTTTTCAAAACTGACAGGAAGTGCTGCTTTCACAACATTCCTGCCTGAAGGATAAAATTGAAATTCTTAACTGTAAAGACCAGGCCGAGGAAGTTAGATTCTTGGCTTAAAGTTACAACTTATTTGTAGTCAGAATTTTTATTACATTTAGTAAAGAAAGAAAAATAAAAATTCTTGTCAGGTGGTTGTAAAAGGGAAATTTGGTTAGCTGCTACTGAGTTTTTATTTTATTTGCTAAGTATATAAATCATGATTATATTATGCCTTGCCTCCTAGCATGTTGTCATATTTGTGTTTAATGATACAGTGGAAGTTTGAGGATGGTCAGCTACATTTTGAATATTCCTTCAGTATGATCTTTCAAGTGTTCAGCTTCATGGCATGGTTATTTTTAATTTTGTAATTATATATAAGCTATGTCATAGTATATGGTGTGTTAATAGGACATAGTAATATATACTATATGATATGTATTATATATATGTAATGTATATACACACAACACATTCTTGATCTCACCAGAGGCCATGACAATGGGCAAACTGCACAAAGAAATTGGTCAACTAATTGTTCAATCTGCGGAAGATCCGGAGAAATCAGACAGCCAGGTGATCCAGGTAACTTGCTGATCTTCTGATTATCCGAGGCGGCATCGCTGGGCATGTGCGGCAGCGCTACGCGTCATCTGCTGTACATGTCCCAGGATGAAGTGACGTGGGAGAGGCCAGCGGGCAGGTGCTTAGATGAGGGTTTGCAGGATGGTCACCATCATGAGGCATGAGCAGGTGCAGAGCTGCCGAGGCCCAGTCAGTTATGGGGCCCTAGGTAGGTATGTAGAGGGGCTGGTGCTGGAGTCCTCCATTAGTAGTGAGAATCGTCACTGCCATGTGCACTGGGATGGTGCACCTCTGGCCCTAGTTAGAGTTTTATGGAGCAGCAAATTGTAAAGGGGAGGTTGCTGCTGAGCACGGGGAAGTAGCTAGATTGTGGTAACTTGGCTTTGCTGTGCTGTCCCCAGGACATGGCAGTCATGTAACAGACCCCGTCCCACTTAACAGACTCTGTGGCCCGCCCTTGCAGCTATTTCCTCTGGGCTCTGCCTGCTACGCTGACCAGATTATCATGTGGACCAGTCAGCACCTTCTCTTCTGCCCTTGCCAGACTGACATGGCAAGTGAGTTTTATTTCCTGTCTCTCCACATGGTGCCCACAGCTTGCCCAGCATCCCTGCCCCCCGTCTGCTGCCCCTTTCACTTCTTCCCAGTTCCTTGCTTCTGTCCTGAGGAATACACTTCCAGCCTAACCTCTCCCAAGCCCTGTCTCATCTAGACCCTGTCTCATACTCTGGAGTTGGAAACAGCCTGGAAGGACCGTTTCCTTGTCTGCACCTGTGCCACCTGGGGGCCACCTCTGGGAAGCAGGCTCTCCCATCCTGTCCCACCTGGCACATGTGTTCATTTCCCCGTCATTTACTCAGATAGCCTCTTCATGGAGCACTGGGAAGTGGGCTATAGTAGTGAGCCTATGTATTCATGGAGCAGATGGATAGAATAGGTGACAAGGTAGTGGTGAGCCATGACAAATGCTGACAGAACAAGGGTCGAGACAGAGACTACCGGGGAGGGGGTGGTGTGTAAATGGAAGGATGATAGGGCCCCGGGAGTGGGCAGCAGCACTTCCTTCTGTTCAGCACCAGTGGTCTGTCTAGCCATGGCCAGGAAGAGTGGATGGGCCTTGTCCTGAGGAGTCAACACTGAGACTCTGTGAAGATTCTTCTTTCTCCCCATGTGGCTTGTCATTGCCCATCCATCCCGTTGTTACCATAAAAACTGATTCTTTACAGCGGAGGCAGAATATGTAAATTTGAGTTGTGAATTATTATGCTTTTCATGACTAAAAGTGATACAAGACTAGTATAATGTATAAGATTTGAAGGAGGAAGAGTGAAAATGCTCAGCATGTTGTAGGGGTTCAGAAACATTTGGATGAATTACTGTCAGCCAGCCAGCAAAAAGACGTGATTTCTAAAAAGTTATTTATTTAATTCAGTTTGTTATTATTATTTTTTAATTTGACCAGGGAGAGACAGAAAGAGAAACAACAAAGCAAGCTGCCAGGTCTGGGACTCAAACCACAGGCAGCCATGTGTGAGTCCAGTGCCCTAACCACCATGCCTCCTGCTGGCCCCCAAAAGACATGATTTTAATGCAAGCTCTAGCGAGTCCTTAGGCACCCAGTAGGAATAAAATCTGAAAGGCTGGGGCCGGGTTTCTTATCCCAGGCAGAAGAGGACTGTTGGAAAGAGTTGTTGAAAAATAATGGCAGAGTTTCTCAGAGCTAAACACAGAATTATATAACTCAGCAGTTCTTCTGGGCATATACCTAGAAGATTTGAAAGCTAGGTCCCTAATATGCAAATACCCCCCCAACAGCATTACTCGCAGTGGCCAAAGTGTAGAAGCAACCCAAGGGTCCGTTGGTGGATGAATAAACAAAATGTGGTATATCCATACAATGGGATGTTACTGAACTTAAAAAGGGAGGATATTCTGATTCATGTTACAACATGGATAAACCTTGAAAAGATGCTAATAAAGTCAGTCAGACACAGATGGACAAACATTGTATGGGTCTACTTAATATGAGGTATCTAGAATAAATAGTCATAGAAGTAAAAAGTAGAATAGCAGTTACCAGGGGCTAAAGGAGGAAACATGGGAAGTTATTATTTAAGGGGTATAGAGATTCTATACCCTTGGATTGGAATGGTGAAAAGAGTCTAGGAATTCTGTATCTGCTCTCTCATAGAAGAAATAAGTAAACTTAAAAACAATTCTGAGATGCCAGCAGGTGGCATGGTGGTTAAGGTGCTGGATATTCCCATATGGCCGACCACGGTTCAAGACTTGGACCTGGTGGCTTGCTGTCTCCTCTCTCTGTCTCTTTCTCTCTGTGTCTCTCTCTGGTCAAATTAAAATAAATGAATGAATAAATAAATAAAATTTTAAAGAAAAGGGGGACCAGCAAATAGTGTGGTGGTTAAGGGTGCTGGACACTCTCACATGGCTGACCACAGTTTGATTCCCAGACCTGGTGGCTTGCTGTCTCGCTTTTCCCTCTCTCTGTGTGTATGTGTGTCTCTGGTCAAATTTAAATAAATAAATTAAATTAAATTAAAAATTCCTTAAAAAAATTTTCTGGGGACCAGCAGTTGGCGTAATGGCTATGTCACTGGACTTCCCTGTAGTTGACCACAGTTCAAGTCCCAGACCTGGCTGCTTAAACTCATGCCAGGCGCATGTGCGTGCGTGCCCAAGATCCCGAGAGGAGCATGAAGGAGAACGGATGCGGTGTGTCCATCCTCCCTGGGGGGTGATTTCTTGCTTTCTGTTTCTCTTTCTGGCAAGTGCACACGCCCTATAGCAAAAATCTCTCCAAAAAAAAAGGTCTGGAAAATAGCTGAGATGGTGGTGCAACATTGGGAATACACTTAATGCCATTGAGTTATACACTTAAAAATGGTTCAAATGGTATTAGGTTGTCTGGAAAGTCATGACACATTTTTGCATAGAAAAGCATACAAAAATATGTCATGACTTGCCTGATGACCTAATTAAAAAAACTAACATTGATTTTTCTAAGTTATTTTGTTTCATTTTTCATAGTTTATAGTTAGTCTGGTAAAAATAGGATGGATTCTAGACTAACTGTTCAGATTTTTGGATACTAACATATTGCATATTTTCCTGTTCTATTAAAGGATATTGCTCTAAAAACAAAAGAAATATTCACCAACCTAGCACCGTTTTCAGAAGTTTCGGATGATGGAGAAAAGATGATCCTCAATTTTGAGGCACTAAAACAAAAACGCTTTCCGCCAGCAACAGAAAACTTCCTTTATCATCTAGCAGCCGCCGAACAAATGCTGAAAATCTGACTGTGACAGAATGCATCGCTGCTGATGGATAGAAAGCTCTTCTTTTACTCTGGTTATCCATTAACTATGTAAAATACTGAAAACAACAGAGAAAATGATATATTTTTAATGATTTATTTGCGAGTATTGAGATTTGACCTGAAAAACACTGAAACTCATGCACACACTTCCAGTCTCCTAGGTGATCACTTCCCGCCTGCTGTCAGCGTCTGACAAAATGCTCTAACTACCAGACATAGCACTCTAAAATGGCCCCGCGTCCTGGAGCCAGAGGAAAAAAGCTGTTGAGTTCTCGTGTAAATCGCAGCAAATGCAAATGCCTTCATGCTTATAAGTTCCAGTTTGTCTCATTGTGTAGCCATAAACTAATGATTTATTTTCAGAAAGCTGCCTGAAATTTTGCTTTGTATTCTTCTAGGAAGAACTTTAATTCCTCATGAGGAACTCTATTTTCTGAGCCAAACTACTAAGTTTTCTGCAGAACTGTCTAGAAGATCATTCAAAAGACCCTGCAGTTGCACTTTCTTAAAAAAGACAAAATTTTTTTTCTCCTGGCCTTTGACCATTTTGCCTATACTATGAAGGTTTTACATAGATTTTATACTTGAGTAGACAACTTTAATAATCCATATTTATATACTGTCACCGGAGTAAGCAGTTGGCAAGTGAGAGCCATCAGTATTCTTCAGTTAACTTTGTTGCTAGCAATATTCTTTTGAAAAAGATGCAGTTGTTATATGGTAGAATAAAGTAAGCCCATTTTGAATATAAATATCAGTAGGACTGAAACAGTGACTTTATATAATTGAGTAAGGGAGTATGAGAATTAACTTCTTGCAGGGGCCAAAACCAGAGAATGTCTTTGAATAACTTCCATGAGAGAAATTTGACTACAGAGCAACGTAACTGTTCTTTTTCAGTGACGTACCTTTTTCTTAATTGGAAACCTTAACATTGCCAGATAAGTATGGAGGCCTAAATTATGTTCTTGTTATTTTATTATGTGTATTCATATTAATTATGAAAGTTTATTTTTCACTCAGTACTGATGTCTTTAGAAATCTTACCTGGAAACATGTTTGAAAAAAAAAATAGTTCTTAGTTGTTTTTTTTTTTGGTGTTTGTTAAATTAAAAAAATAGACCTTTTTCCCCTCCCTCTTCAAGTAGGGTGCGGAAGGACCTTAAATGAGATGGTGTTTACTGAGGCAAACAATTCAAATCTGCACTTTATGAAAATGAATACTAACATCTTTTTTCTCCCTTTTTTGTTTTTGGTATTACTAAATTAGCTTATGAGCAAAGTTGTTAAAATTGCGAATTTATGATGCAGAAATAAAATGGAAATATTTTGATACTTAACAAACTTTTAGGTAGGCGAAGGATTGTGTTCTTTCTACTTCTTCCAGCTCCAAAAAGCAAAAAGGAACATTGTGTTCAGCTGTGAAGACACTGGGGCATCTTCTGAACTGAAAGTTAAAGCTATTACCCTGGGCCATGACTTGCTCCGGGCCTTCTCTCCCTGCTTAACCCCCTTGCTCCTGGCCTCCTGCAGCTGCCTCTCTAACTTGTTTCCTTTCCTTGGAAGATGTCTTCACACCTCCACCCCTTCATCTCTTGGTGACTGAATCTCCACCTGAGTTTTTGTCCATTGTATTCTTTTTAAAAATTTCAGTCTCTCTCTGTCTTTCTGGCCTGTGCACACGCTCTATAGCAAAAACCTCTCCAAAAAAAATAAATAAATAAAATAACAACAGTATGTGTGCATGCACACAAAACTGAAAGGGCAAGAGAGAAAGCACTCCCCAGTGGGATCTGAGCACACCAGTCCTTTTCCTCTAAGTCTCCATTCCATTCTGGGCATGCATTCAACCTGGTGTTTCAGGCCCATAGGCTGGGACTTGGGGATTTGGCTTCCTCTGTGCGGTTCCTAACCACAATGCATGGGGCTGGTCCCCTACATTTGATTTTGTTTCTTGTAAGCCTGTGGTCAGACTGAGTCATCTAGTAGATACTTTTTTTTTTTTAAGTATTATTATTTTTGGGGACCAGTGAGTGGCAAGGTGGTTAAGGCAGTAGACACTCCCACATGGCAACTATGGTTCAAGTCCCTGACCTGGTGGTTTGCTTTCTCACTTTCCCACTCCCTCTGTTTGTCTCTCTCTGGTCAAATGAAAATAAATGAATAAATAAAATTAAATAATTCTTTTTTTTTTTTTGGTAGAAAAGAGAATAGGAAATATTTTAGAGAAGAAATATACTCAAAACGCCTTTTGGCTGGCAGGTTTCTAGGTAGCAACTGGTGCCAAAATAAATAATTCTTTAAAAAAAATTTGCCAGAAGGCCCATGCGTGGGAGGGTGGTGGGGAAGGGTAAAGAGATAGAGAAAGCTAGAAAGCACCTCACCTCACCTTAACCACAACCCCTTTTTTCAGGATTCTGGGCATGCATGCAACAGGCACCTGGCATGTTTTTCATTTTTTAAAAAATAATTAGTAGTAGTAGTATTTTTTAAATTTGACCAGAGAGAGACAGAGGGAAAGTGAAAAGGCAAGCCACCAGGTCAAACTAGTCAGCCATGTGGGAGTCCAACACCTTCACCACACCACCTGCCAGCCTCCTGGCATGTTTTTTAAGCTGCCAGGAGTAAGCTCAGCTAGCCATTTGGGATTCAGCCACCCGAGCCACCAGATTATGGCTGGCCTACTCTGGGCAGGCCTTTTTATCAGGGGTGGCTTAGAGAAGCTGAACAAGAGATGAGCAGTACCAGCTGGGGGTGCTGTTGGACTGAGTTGGGGTGGTAGCAGTGGCCAAGGAGGAAGTATAGACTTACCTGTGTTAGGCCCAATTTATTGAGTGGGGTTCTTTCTCCCCAATTCCTGTCACAGTAAGCTAAAACCCCTGCAATTTCCTTATAGGAGTGTCTTGTTTATCAGCCTCCTCCCCTTTTAATTTTTTAAAGTTGATTTCTTCCATGAATCAGGGCACCCTCAAGAGGTTCTTGACATTGCAGTCTACTCCCAGCCTTCAGCCAGTCCTGGACTATAGGCAGCTGCATATCCAGTGTACACAGGGAGGTCTCCAGATATGAGCCACACTTTTGCATGTAGGATGGCCTCAACAGCATGGTGCTTTACAGCTGCACCACAATCTAGACTTTTTTTTTTTTTTTTTTTTTTTAATTTGCTATCAGGCACATGTGCTTATGAATGAGAAAGCACTCCCCCGAGGGGGATGACCACGCACAATCCCTTCTCTACTCTCTATGATTTGGGGCATACTGCACATTATTCCAGCATTTTTGTTTTGTTTTGTTAAGGTTTTTGCTATAGGATGTGTCTGCTTGCTGGAGAGAGAAAGAGAGAAATTACCTCCTGGTGGGGGGGCGGGGCGGGGGGATGGCCACACTGCAATCCCTTCTCCTCCATTCTCCTCCTGGAATTTTGGGCATGCATGCATACACACCCAGTTTGATTTTCAAGCTGCTGGGTATAAGCCTTGAGCTGGAAGGCTGTGTAGGAGTCTAGCATTTAACCATCATGCCACCTGTTGGTCCCCCAGGATGTTTTTCAAACCGCTGGGTCCAAGCCTCAAACTGTTCAGTTGGCCATGTGGGATCTAGCCACCTTATCCACTATGCCACTTGGTTGGCCCATAGACCTTTCTTAATTTTTTGTGAGTGAGGGAGACTCATACCCCCAACAGAACCTTCACATCGCAGCCTGCCCCAGTGTAGCCGGCCTGGATCACAGGCATGTGCGTTCCCACAGTGCCCAGGAAAGCCTGCAGATGGAAGCTGGCACTTTGCCAGAGCATCTAGCATCACTATCTTGGGCGTGGTGACGCCCGCCCTATGGCAAAAACCTATGGAGGCTGGAGGATTGTAGCATCACTATCTTGTAAGTGTTGCAGTTTCTTTCTTTACAAGGGTGATGGCGCTGATCCTATCTGAAGCAACTGACCAAGCAGTGGTGCATTTCCGAGATTGGGAGGGAAGGCTGATCTTGAGTTTGGCTGGGTCAAGTCTGAGCTGTCATGGGACACCCAAATGGCAAAGTGCAGCTGGCAGCTGACGTGGCTGTCGCTCAGAACTAGTGATGGGACTGTGTGTCCAGCAGAGTGGTGTGTAGCACTCAGGTGGGGCCTGGGTGAGAGAAGCCTTAGCTCAGTGGAAGGGTGAGTAGGGCTGGGCCCAGAAGCAAGGGTTGGAAGCAGCTCACTCTGCCTGGGGGTAGGATGGGAATAGAGGTAGCTCCCACTACTGGTCAAGAGCAAGCAGTTTCTTCCGTGAAGGAGGAGGTAGGTCATTCCTCTCCATCCTTTCTAAAACCAGGATCGCAGCTTTTTTTTGTTTTAGTTTTTTTTTTTTTTTTTTTTTTTTAAAGAGATTTTTGCTACAGGGCGAGTGTGCTCACTGGAGAGACAGAAACAGAAAGCGAGAAATCCTCCTCCCAGGGGAATGGCCGGTCTGCAATTCCTTCTCTTCCATTCTCCTCTCAGGATTTGGGGGCATGTGTGAACGCACATGTGCCGAGCAGGAGTTTCAAGCTGCCAGGTCTGGGACTTAAACTGTGGTCGACTATGTGGGAGTCCAGCACCTTAACCATCACCACCTGCTGGTCCCAAAGCTGGCTTATTTTGAATTGTCTGCCTGTTAGCTTCACCGGTTCCTTTTGGTCACTGACCAAGTTCCCTGTGTAGGGTACTTTTGTTTAAGTGCCAGCAGGCTGCCTACTGTCCACTGGAACCCCACCTCCTCCCTGTAGCTATAACGTAAGAAGCACCAGAAAACCAATCGGAAACCTGAGCTAGCAGCCTAGCAACGAGGAAGCTCAGCAGGTCAACAGGACTGATTCATAGCTGGAAGCCTTAGCCCACTGGAGGTCCACATTTATCCTGAGACACATGCCTGTGTCCTGAGCATGGTGGACTCTTTGCATTTAATTTTTCAAATACTCCACTTGACACACATTTATTAGTAATTTCCAGGCGGACTCTAACCTCAGCAACCCGGTGGGAGTGTCAGACTAGACATTCTTGTCCTGTTGCTCTTCCAGCCATCTTAGCACATGTCATTGTAAGTCAGCTGTCAGCACAGACGCCTGTGGGTGTCCAGGCGACCTTTGGCAGACTTCTTTAAACTGAAACCTTGACGTGAGGAAGGTTCTCAAGCAGGAGCCAAACAAATTCATCTAAAACTCGTCCCTATACCCCTCTGTTATAGAAGAGTTCTGTTTCTTCTGTTAATGACTGAATTTCCTCTTCAAGCTTACTGCGCTGTATCTGAAAAAACAAAGATAAATTCTTAATATAGACATTAAGAAACTCTCTTGCCTTAAAGCCAAGTTAAAAAAAAAAAAAATCTGGGGCCAGCAGGTGGCATGGTGGTTGAGGGTACTGGACTCCCACATGGCTGAGCATGGTTCAAGTCCCAGACCTGGCGGCTTGCTTTCCTATTTTCTCTCTCTCTCTCTCACTCTGTCCCTCTCTGGTCAAAGGAAAGGAAAAGAAAGGGAAAGAAAGGAAGTTAAATAATTCTTTAAAAAAAAAAAAAAACCCTTGGGGGCCGGCAAGTGCTGTGGTGGTTAAGGGCATTGGACTCCCACATGGCCGACTGTAGTTCAAGTCCCTGACGTGGTGGCTTGCTTTTTCACTTTCTCTCTCTCTCTCCCCCTCTCTCTCCTTCTGTTCCCCTCTGACCAGGTTGAAAATGGGTAGATAAATGAATAAGTAAAGTTAAATAAAATAATTCTTTAAAAACAAAACTTTCAGAAAGCAACCATTTCACAGTTCATCTCTTTTTTTTTTTTTTTTTTTTTTAAATCTGTGAGTGGACATATGTGGTTGTCAGAAAGAGAGAGGAAGAGAAGAGAGCATTCCCCATGAGGAATGGTCACACTGCAATACCTGTTCCTCCCTTTCTCCATCCTGTTGGGATTGGAGCATGCACACACACACGCCCAGCATATTTTTCAAGCTGTCAAGGCCAGGATTCAAACTGTGGTTGGCCTCGTGGAATCCACCTTCCTTAACTACCAGGTGATGAGAACAGCTGCACAGTGCATCTTTTACTTTTCTTTTCTCTAATATTTTTTCTTTTTTTTTTTTAGGCTTCTGTCATACACCGTGTGTGCTTGCCAGTGACAAAGGAGAACAGAGAAAGGGAAAAAGAAAAATCACCCCCCAGGGGCATGGCCACACCACATCCCTTTTCCTCCATTATCCTCTCAGGATTTGGGGCACATATGTATACACCCCCAGCATGATTTTCAAGCTGCAGGTCCAGGATTCGAAATGCAGTTGGCCATGTGGGAATCCAGCACCTCAACCGCCAAGCCACCTGCTTGCCCCAGTCTCTCTCTCTCTCTTTTTAATTTGTCTTGTGTGTGTTTGCACACATGTATGGGGTTGTGGCTTTTTACTTAATTTTATTTGTTGTTATAATTATTTTTTAATTTCACCAGAGAGAGACAGAGAGAAAGAGAAAGGGAAATGAGAAAGCAAGCTGCCAGGTCCGAGATTCGAACTGCACTTGGCTATGTGGGAGGCCAATGCCTTAACCATCAAGCCACTAGTCAGCTCCTTTTTTTTTTTTTTAAAGACATTTTTGCTATAGAGCATGTACACTTACCAGAGAGACAGAGAGACAGAAAATGAAAAATCCCCACCCCCACCCCCACCCTGGTGGGGATTGCCATGCTACAACCCCTCCTCCATTCTCCTCTTGGGATTTTGCACACACATGCACCCCGTGTGATTTTTCAAGCCACAAGGTCCAGGACTTGAACTATGGTCAGCCATGTGGAAGTACAGCACCTTAACCACCTTGCCACCTGTTGGACCCAGTGAGTTTTTATTTTCTTGAGCTTTTTAAAAAATTTCTTTCCAATTTGCTATAGGATACATTTGATTGCTGGAAAGAGACAAAGAGGGAAAGTGAGAAATCACCCCCTCAGGGGGACTTGCACACCACAACCCCCTCTTTTCCATTCCCCTCTTGGGATTTTGGGCTGCATACCACAACCCCCTCTTTTCCATTTCCTCTTGGGATTTTGGGCAAACACACATATGCACCCAGTGCGTTTTTCTTTTTCTTTTTTTAAAGAATGATTTTATTTAATTTTATTTATTAATTTACTTACTTTAATTTGATCAGAGAGGGACAGAGCAAGAGAGAAACAGCAAGTTACTAGGTCTAGGACTTGAACTGTGGTCAGCTATGTGGGAGTCCAGCGCCCTTAACCACCACGCCACCTGTCAGCCCTTCCAGTATGTTTTTCAAGGTGCTGAGTCTGGGACTCAAACCTTGGAATCAGCCATGTGGAATCTAGCCACCTTAACCACCATACCAGTAGCTGGCCCAATATTGTTATTTTGTTTTATACTTTTGTAAACTTTGCAAAGTTTTTAGAAGAATAATTCATTTATTTATTTTTAGTTTTTTAAAAAACTACCAGGGGACTAGCAGTTAGCATAATGGCTATGTCGCTGAACTCCCATGTAGTCGACCACGGTTTGAGTCCCAGACCCGGTGGCTTAAACTCACGCCGGGCGCGTGTGCATGTGTGCCCAAGATCCCGAGAGGAGAATGGAGGAGAAGGGACTGCAGCGTGGCCATCCCCCCTGGGGTTGATTTCTCGCTTTCTGTCTGTCTGTCTGGCAAGCACATGTGCCCTATAGCAAAAAAAAAAAAATCCTCTCCAGAAAAAAAAATCACCAGAAGACACATGCACTCGCTAAAGAGAAACAGAGAAAGAAAGGGAGAAAGTACCACCTCCCTGTGGGGTGTGGTCATGCTCAATCCCTTCTCTTCCCTTTCTCCATCCTGTCACCCTTTTGTGCATGAACATACACTTGGAATGTTTTTCAAGTTGCCAGAGCTGAAGTCAAACAGCATTCAGCCATGTGGGATCTGGCTCCCATAAACACTAGCCTACAGGGCTAGCTCTGTATTATTGTTTAAAGCACAAAATAAAAACCCAGCAATTTCCCTGTCTGGAAGTCAAATGGAGGGGGGCGCACTTACCCGTCCAATTTGTGGAAACATACTGAAAGAAACTGGCAGCACCAGTCCCATTACCAGGAAAGTACAGGACAGTTTCATGGTCCATACTGACTGTGGGTTTTGCAGGAAAAACTGGGTCCTGTAGGAGACAAGGTACAGCTCAGAAGTGACGCTAAACATAAACTGTTTTTAGAAGCTGGCCTTCTGCTCGAAGGGTGGCTAATTCCATCTTGCACACAGCTATAGGCCTACGCTGTGGCTCCCACCCAACCACGAATAGGCAAGAAAAGCAGCTGCACTGACCAAGTGCTTAGTATGAGTCAGGCATGGTGTGAAGCACTCCACATGCACCTGCTCCTTGGATTCCCTGCAGCCGCTGTTCTCATCATCCCTTTCACACAAGTACGAAAATGGAGGCACTGTTTAACTTGTCCAAAGTCTTAGCCAGGGCTTCCTACCCTCACCACGCTGGAGAGTGGACTGGTGAGTCAGAAGCATAGGACACAATGGAATCATTCCCTGGGAGTCTCTGAACTGAGAGGAAGACATTCCTG